GTCCTGAAAACGTCGCGATTGTTCGAGCCCTGTTAACTCGTAGCGCCATCTGGGCGTGACCATTTTTCCAATTTTATTATTCTTCATTTTTTTTTTCCTTTTTTTTTTTCTTCTCGTTTCAACACGCTTCCCTCCTACATCCGTATGTTCACATGTATATAGGTTATTATCGTCTTCAGGCTCACGTGCTATACGCGACGTGTCGCGCTGATATCTTTTAATCTTTTCTCAGCTTTTTATGGCGCTTTGAAAAAAATCAAATCAGACATCTCGTACAATAGATTCTCTATCTGGGAGGTATGATATATTACGAGGGATACGATACTCGTGCATTTCTTATATGAATATGCTACTACTGTATGTATATTGTCCATTTGTGTATATATATATTGTATGTCGAGATTCAGTCCTCTCGTACCGTTCTCTCGTATAACGGTGTCCGACGCTTGGCCAAGGACGAAATCGAGGATGAAAAAGCGGGCTGAGGGGTATTGTGAGAGCGGGCGAGTTTGTGACGTCACACGTATCCTAGCCCCTGGCAAATTCTAACTGGAATTTGGCTTATCCATTTCTTTTTCTTTTTTCTCTGCTAACTGACACGTGCTCGAATCTCTACGTGTATGTATGAGCCGAGAAGTAGGGTAAGGACCCTTATAACACTGTCACGCGTAGGAAAGCGATGATAGACGTTTATACGTGTAAAATAAAATGTAGAAAATTATTTTCTCTGAATTAATTTTACGAAATAATAGCATACGAGTATAAGTCGTGTCGGTTGCAAACTTCTGCGATAATAATAATACAAGTGTACGGTGCAATGTGAAAATAATTTTAATAACGCAATCGGAGAAAAGTCATGATACGATTTTTTTTTTATTTCATCAATTTGTAATTAACCCGAAGCACTCATTTTTTCTTGTCTTTTTTCTAATTGGCTCTTCTTTAATTTTAAAAAAATTTTTTTTCTTTTATTATACTCGCATACTTCGAGGAGCAGGATCGTGGACGCTGGCTGATGCTACGTTCGCTGACCGCTGATTCTGCTAGTCACGCGTAGTCCACTGGCCTAGTGCCCAATACCGTTTCACAATCAATACCCCGGATCTTTTGAGCCACGGAACGTTTTTCACCCTAGACTGTATGTACCTCATCCATTTGCTGAATGGACTCCATTCCCTAGGGAATTTTCTAGTGAACTCATAATTTCTTCTGAGTCTCAATTACTAAACTAGACTCGTTCGTTGAATTACATACATTACGATTGCATTAAAATCTACGTACAACGTACGTAGAGTATATACAAACCATTAGTTAGTGCCATAGTAATATTATTATAGGCATAAAATAGTGATTTGATATAAACAGCAATTAACACTTGTATAATATTGTATTAATCGATTGAATTTATCAATGTAACGTACGCTCGTTAACGATTAATGTATCTGTATGATTATTAACGATCGAACGATTTATTTACTTTCTTCTCTTATTTTTTCGTATGTGGTACATATTAAATATACGTGTATAGTGTACGATAGTAACATAATAATTCTAGCACTATAGAAACTGGTGCCGCAAGTGTCGAAAGCATCGATGGCGTTGTACCTCATGGCGCTGCTCGTTTATCGTCTCACTTTTTAAGTGACCCGCTTCGTGATATCGTATCGATTACTTCTCGAGACACGAGGAAGTAAAACAGCGATATGTTGCATGTACGTAGAAGACCGCGGGGTCAATGTCCTCTGCGCTCAAAACGAAGCTTCTTCTTCCTGACGAATGAAAGAACCTCTTTTAATCTCGCGTAATATCGATCAGACGGTACGATCGTCAATTTCAAAGAGAATTTCAACATGGGAGCCACGGACGTATTAAAACAAAAAAAAAGACAAAGAAAAAACAAGAGACGCGTATTTAACAAAAGTTGATTGATTGCGCAAAAACTGTATGATTCCAATGGATAACGGCTAAACAATACATTTTGACGTTACGCAGACGGCACTGTTACTCCGTTCACTTTTTCACGTAGTTCGCGTAGGGGTGGAAGGCGAAAAAATAAACAAGCAGAAAATTCATCGCGAGCTAAAACTTTTTCTTTTTTCTTTTTTAACGTGGCAAACCGTCAAAGTTAGGTTAGGTAGACTTGCTCATATTAGGTATATACGTATAGCTCACGTTCGGGTCATTCCCCTCGTGATATTCTTGGCAGTCTCTCTCTTCTCTCCTTTTACGCCCGTTTCTTCTTTACTCCCTTATCCACTACTGTTCCTCTCTCTCTCGCTCTCTCTTACCCTTCACTATCCTTCACTCACAACTTCACGAGGATTACCCGCTCGTTCACTCTCGTTCCTCTTGTTCGTCTTGAATTCTCAGCTTCTACCCCATCTACTCGTTTCGAGTCCTCCTGGTACGTTACGTTTCTCGTTATTATTATCGATTAGGCTCTTCGCTCGCTTGGAAATTCCCTTCTTTTTTTTTTTTTGTTTTTTTTTTTTTCTTTACACGCAGCTTAACAGAACCAAAAACTCACTCGATGCTTCGTACTCAGTGATCTTCTTCCGGTTGACCATAGAGCCCAAGATCACCTGCGACGCGATGGACCTTAAATATGTATACAAGAGACGCGAAAAGTTGAGCATCGCACCTAAGAAATATTAAGCTCAGTTCAGGGTGTACGCACCCATGCGTAAAGTCCATAGAGGACGCGAAGTCAGCCATCGTGGAACAGTGACCCCCTGGACCAGAGAGATACAGTTATTACATTTACTCGCAGCTTACCTACACGCACGTATATCTCTTCGACGCGTCGCGTATCTGTATTACGTACACGCACCGGCATACTCTCTCTCCCCGAGAAGTGCATCCTGCGCGTTAACATTGCACCACGGTGCACTGGTTGAGTTAGCCGAGCTGCTATAGTTTATTGCAACACGCATGCAGAGGAACTCGTAGATAGGACGCCATAGTCACAGCTGGACGAAACGAGGTTACCGCGACCTCGCCGATGAGACTCGTTGCATGTGCAACGTGCACCTTTAATATATTTGACTCGCTTGTCATTCGATGCACTCGGCCAGGTATAGACGAATTTACCAGCATTGCCATTCCCATACGTTAATGCAAACCTACTATACAAATGGAACTTGGATTCGGTATGCTTCGAGCGTATACCGAGCGCGTGTATCGTTATACGGTGTAATTGATATTACATTTTTGAACGTGGTATATATAGTCACGATCCGTTTACGATAAGAGACAACGGTAAATTTTCAGTATCCGGTTAAATTAGACGAATTTATACCAATTGTCTAAAGTGACGGTTACATCTACCGAACCTTACGCTATTGTGATTCGACGTTCGCTCTTGCCTAAAATTTTTCTTAATTTCCTTCGCGCAGTCGTACGTACCATCGTTAAATACGCATACGCGACACACGTGCGCATATTCACGTACGATCGAACGGTTCAGTGGCCCTAGCAAATAGTAATAAACGTTGATAAGGAACGATCAAACATTCGCTTCCCGATTGATTTGTTTCGTTCTTTGTTATTATGGACCACCGGGTGGGTCCTCGTGTTCATTTTCATTGAATTCACTGCTTTCGAATTACTTCGTACACGCGTACACACGCACCTCAGTTCGTTTGTCAATTAGAGTCTAAATTAGTTTCGTTAACCGAAGTCACCAACGAAAGTTCACGTTGCAAAAATTCGCCTTTGTCGCGCCCCGTCTGCGATTGAATTCGTTCGCCCTCTCTGGTCCCACCTCCCCCAGACCCCCCCTTGTCAGCCCCCCTTCCCCCGGAACGCCTGCTCCTTTATTCTCTCGTTCGTTCACCTAGAACAGTTCAACGAACTTTTCGGGTTAATTAGAGAGCCGCGGTGTCATTTTCGCGAACTTAACCTCGCGAATTTGCGACTTTATCGGGCGCCTCGTCTCCTAGTACCAATGAATATGACATCGCGATCAACTAGGCTGCTTCTTTCAAGGTTCTTCTTCGTTTCGCTGGGGCTTCGTGTATTACGTTTACACGTATATTCGTACGTAACGAGAATCCTGGTGTTGATTACTTTTTTTTTTTTTTTTGGGGCATTTCAGTACGAGAGGTTTGCATACTGCCACTTTGGCGCACTGTACTTTTGCTCGTGGGCCATTAGGTGGACTTTTTTGAATTTTATATAATTCAAGTCCGGGTGCTGCTTTCGGGTTTGATTATCAATTCTCTGGCACAACGCAGTCTGTTTCGCAGAGTCAATGTTACCATGCAAGTATAATGGCTGGTAAGGCGATGTGCGTAGCTGCCGAAACATTGGAGGAAATTATACGAATAGATGCTCGTGGTCATTGCTAATGCCTATGCGTCTCTTTTTCTCGGCTCCTTCTTCGCAAAAGTTCAATGAACCTCGAGATGACGCGATACCGCAATGTTGTGAATTTATTATCTCATGCGTGCAAGTGACATTTGATTCTTTAACTGTTTTTATTTATTCGTCTCCTTTTTTTTATTCTTCACTCGTGGATCGTATTCTTCTACGAGAGAAGTCCCAATGCGACACATTCGTTCGTTCACTTTTATCGTGCATTTGCGCTACACAAGGCGTCGCGCCGCTTCGCGATCGGTTATTTGTCATGTTGATCAGCTACAGGTAAACGTTATCTAACATTACGTTCGAGACGCCTCTGTTTTAGTTATTTATTTTTTTCTTTTTTTTTTCTTTTTTTTTTGTAAAGGTTGCATTTTTATGGAGATTTTTTGTACGTTTTTTTTAAAATTCTTGATGATTTTCAGAATTTTCTTTTCGTACAGTTAACGATCTCGTGGTCGGAAAGCGCGTACTATTATTAAACCGAGTGAACCGATTAGATAATAATATAGACGCTTACTTGTTTTCGTACGCGAATAAAATTTGGCGCGAAATTTAAAAAAATTACAGTGACAGTACATTCGTGCTTTTCGTACCAGTGCGTGTCTTTATGGGTGGATATTTTTGTCTTTTTACAGAGTGGAAAGCTCGGCGCTGCAGTTGGTGTGTCCGCTGGAGTCTCGCCCTGTGCAGCTGGTCTTCCGGGGATTGCAAGTGGTCAAGGAGAAGAGGGCGCTTCTTCGTGACGTTTCCGGCGTCGTGAAACCTGGCGAACTGTTGGCTGTAATGGGCCCTTCGGGTAATTGATTTTTTTTTATATTTATTTCTTTTTTGTTTCGGAAAAAAAAAATTGAGATAAAGTGAGTCGAGCTATTGAGATTAATGGCTTACTATATAAGTCCTAGGGAATTTTTTGCAGCTCTAGTCCATATTACAGTAGAAAATTATTACTAAGACAAATTGCTTGGGGAGCTGTAGATACTTTCTTGACCCACTTTTCAGCTTCCAGTAGACGCTGACAAATCATACTTCAATATCTCCCATGTTATTTCAAAACTTTTTTTGGCGAGTCAAAATATCAGCTGGATACGATAAACAAGGTGGTCTCGTTTGTTGATAAGGATAAAGTCATTGGGAATATCCTGGAAGCGAGTACTAGGTCAACAATCGAGAGCATGCTCTTTCCATGTTACTTGGACCAAAAAAATCTGTAGATTTTTTAAAAAAATTACAATTCTTCTTACTCTTACACAGGGTGCGGCAAAACAACCTTGCTCAACTGTTTATCGGGACGAGTTGGTCTCGACGGCGGTGAAATTTGGTTGAATCGTGAAAGACTGACGAAAAGATGGCGACGAAGAATTTGCTACGTGCAACAGCAAGATGTCTTCTTTCCCGATCTCACGTTACGGCAAACCTTGGAGGTATGTAGACAATCCTTCTTTTTTTCTTTTAATACGTGAACAACAACATCGGTAACATACTGCCGAATTGGATTTTTAAAGAAATCACAAGCAGTCGGTACCAATGGCAAGCATTGAGTCTCTTTGAGAACCAGTGGATACCTAGTGCGTATAGATTGCGCATCATGCTCCAGCATGGAGAAATCTAAAGTCTTTCTCTTCGTATCTTTCTCGGCGTGTAACTCCATGAAAAATCGTACGACCCCTTTTCCGCGTTCCACTTTGATTTAGAACCGAAAGTGGACTTCGATCTCAAGAGAAATCCAATAATCCAAGACTTTCCATCTAGAGGAATTAATCTTCAATATAATACAAAGCATCTTCGATGCCTTCCTTTTTCTTCTCATTGGTTTTCACACGAGTTCTCAGTGGGCGAATTTTAGTATTTTTTCTTTTCTTTCTTCCTTACTTCAAAGCACATATGACGACATATGGCAATAAATTTGTCGACAGAGGACAAAAACTCTTTTACGGTTACTCCATTATACCTATGTATACAGAATAGAAATTTAACATGGCCAATCACAAAAGCCAGAGACCCGATCAGCTGAAAGATGGCGACTACCGATAAAATTCTGTAAGCGATTCCACGGCCTACACGGTATTCAGCAAGCTGGTACGTGCATATGTGTAGCTCCCGCTTGACTACAGGCTAATACAGAAGCGAACGACAGAACACGGCGTCGCGTCGCTCGCGCGAAACTTCGCGTCTTGTCTCGAAGAGCGCGAGCGTTACCACCGGGGTAGCAGATAGTAGAGAGGATCGAGGAGCAGAGGGCTGGTGGGCATAGTGGGAGATCCGTGACGTCATAACTCGGTCACTGAACCGAGTGTGTCTTACGTGTTTCAAAAACATTCGGCGCCGTCTACAACGACACGACGCTATAACGCCGCGACACATCGTTACAAACCAATTCGAATCCAATCTCGGATCGACTAAGTAAACTCACCTTTTCGGATATTTCTTTTTTTTTCAAAATATAAAACAAAAAATCAAAAAACTTCAATACCTCTAATCTCCAAGATCCGTATTACACTTGTATTCATTTTTGGTGCAATTGATTTTCAATATGAAAACAACAAAAAATGACATTGATACTTACAGCAAGAATATTTTATTAGCAATGACAAAAAATTTTGTCAAAATTTACTATTGTCATTTATCTCATTGTTGCTGGAAATTTGTTGTCCAAATTCTACAGTATTTGGTTAATCATTGCTCTAAACAACGCGTGGTCCCACGTGATTGCTGTCGATTAATTAATTTTAATAAGAAATTCTCAGATCGATCTTTTTCCCATGATAATTTTCTTAATTATCGACACTCACCATAACAATCTAATATTCCGATTGTTTCAGGCTGTTTTATCTCGATTAATTAATTTTAATAAGAAAATCTCACATCGACCTTTTTCCCCATGATAATTTCATAAGTTATCGACACTCACCATAACAGTCTACTGTTTCGACTGTTTGAGGCTATTTTATCTCAGTTCGCGATTCTTCGAGTTCGCGTCAGACTTCCTCAAACTCGTGTTATCATAAACTACGGCGAATGGTGATCTGTATAATCAACTACTTTTCAAGACGGGCATTCACACGTGTGACATTCATTCGGGGGAACACGTTGCCTCTAGTTCCCATTTATTCATCTCCAATTACACCTAGAACGTGACATTAATTTCTAAATGAAATTAAATCCCTATTATCTCACTTTTTCAATAATTCGAACTAAGGTCGATTCACGATAACTTGAATAATCGAGATCCTATACCATACCGATTACGATATTAACACGTGTACTTATGACTTTGTACTATCAGACCATTTACTTAAAAACGTACTCATGTATCATATACTTTAACGATATCATCAATCAGCTGTTTGTCAAAGTGAGAAGTTCATGGGACACGAGATTCATTGCATGGAAGCCCTCGTTACATAATTACAGAGTAAACCGTGCTACGAATACGTATAGGTATAAGGTCGCACGTGGGATATGTGTCAAAGGTTCATATACGAGAGCCCTATAATCCTATATTAGGTACTATACATATATATATATTGAAATACCCTTTAGTCAATAGTAACGATCAATCAATTATTCTATATACATATACACACATGACGTCGCACGGTAAACCGAGCTGAAGGTGTAACGTCACGTCACGTATGTCGGCGCGTAGGTAACTCACCGAAGAAAGTTCATGCTGTACGTGCAGAACGACATGCATCCGATCTTGTCTCTATGTGATCGAGGCGTGGCAGTCAGTTAGTCCATGCATATAGAATTCAAATGGAATTTTACTTCGTTATCAGAAATTCTATGAACATTTATACGTATGTATATACATATATACGTTTATAACGAGGATGCACCTGCGTTATATGTAGGTAATTATTAACAGCTCGTTTATACGGTCCAGCGATATTTTTAATTGGATTTTATCGCAGTGCATTTGGCTGCACTAGAACAAGTCTTTACTACTGGCACGTCCGTTACCGTCTGACACTTTTCATATATCTCTACTGGACTGAGAAGATAAATTGTATTATGCTCTGGTGGAATAGGAACATTTTTGTCTCGATACTTTTGTTATTCTCGTTTGACGTAATGGACTGGAAAGTTTTTGTCGTACAGGATAATCGTTAATGTCGTTCTCGATGTTAGCTGCTTTTTTTTTTTCACTTGATTCACGTATTTACCGAGCCTGCAACCCGCCTGACTTACCGCACGATTCTATTTTCAATTCGCATCTGCTTTATTAGACACGTCATGTGGGTGTCGCGCGAGTTTGCGTGTCTTGTGCACGAGTGCGGTGTTACATTTTGTAATGCGCTCTGCGAATTGCGAGAATCGTTGGATTATCTAATTTTGAGAGTATCGCGGGGGTGTTGATCCTTATTTTTGGATCGAGTTCCCGACAAGTGCGAGAGCATCGTGTAGATGCACGGAATCATTATTTTAGTTTTTTAACGGTGCCCATGGAATTGGAATTTTTTTTGGGGATTTTTATTTCTTATACAGGCAGTCACTTGAGAAATTTTGAGAAATTTTTTTTGTAATATTAAGATAACGTTTTTCGTAACGACGCGTCAAATGGGGAAGAGATATATTCAACCCTTCCAGAGCCACGGCTGATTGATATACGTACGCTTCTATCGATAGATATATCGGGCTGTACCAGTTAAACGGGTTAAACTTCTTTATTTCTGGTTTTCATGTATTTTCGTTAGTGTCAAACGTTAATCGATCAACTTGCCATGCGTTATTACGGTTTTATAGTTGGTCGCTGTGCGAGAATCAAATTCTTCACAAAATATATGTCCACCTCGACTAGTCCGCTTGGCCTGCGTAACCGCAAGAAGCGCGACGGTTCGTCGCGGTGAAAGGAAAAGTAATTCTCACGTAGACCGGCAGTTCAAGTCGACGAAGCTGGCGTGTTGCGTCGTAAAAAAAAATACGCTCTCATAGAAACTTAACGGTCTTCTTAACGTAGATACGAAACTCGTACTACGCACACGCGCTGTAACGCGTGCCGTCAGAATTCATGAAGGTCGCCGGCTGGGAAAAATACGATGATAAAAAAGGAAAAAAAATTTCGTCGTTACTTATGAATTCTCACGGCGACTCGTATGAAGTCTGTTAGCTAAAGAAATTGAACGAAGTCAAAAAAATACAAACTGACCTCCAAAAAAAATTAACGTTAGCTCTTGTTTTGCCAAAATTTCAGAAATACAAATTTACCCAATTGCATTCCTACATTCGCTTTCGGTATCGCGTAACTCGTGTTTTCTTGAAAATTAAATTTTTACCAAATTTTTGTACTCAATGACTTCTCGAGTCGATGTCAAGCGAAATTCAAATATTTTATAAAAATGTAATTTTTGAATTTCATTATTTTCTCGTTTCAGTACCAGGCTCGACTCAGGCTTCCGGACACACTTTCGCACTCGCAAAAGATGCAGTGCGTGGACCACATAATAGAGGTTCTCGACCTCGCGGCCTGCCAAGACACCAGTAAGTGTGCGATGTAAATGAAGCGAGGCCCCCAAGCGACACACATGAAAGTCCTGCCTTAACGTACACGATACCATCATTACGTACACAAAATCATATAGACATACGTATATACAAGAGTGCACATAAGAAGATATATATACATATACGCACATAAAGCATGTGTGGACACACGTATGACAGCACACTGGATAATCGTATGGACGTTTAGTGTTTCCGTGCGATACGGCGCCAGTCCGCCATACGTGGTGCCATATGTAGATATAAAATACATACGTGCTCGTCTATAGACACATTCGTAAAAGCAGCCATCGGACGCACACGCGTGGCCCAGTTTCTCCGTACGAAACTCGTATGAAATGTCTCGTTTATTGAATCCCCTTATTGCGTCCAGGAACCCTGAGAAATTCAAAGCTCAGCACTGTTCTTCATTATATATTACGCATTAGCGTATTACGTTGTTCAGAAGAATTTTTTGTTATTTCCGACTATACGTTTTTTCTCACCTACCTTTTGCTTATAGATATATCGTTATTAAGTTATCTGTGCTTTGCCATGGTTCATTGAAGGGTAATTTAATTTTTTTTTTTAATTTATTTATTCTATCGTTAATTTCACTCGTATGATTTTTAACAGTTATTGGAGATTATACGAAGCGCGGCCTGTCTGGCGGTGAGAAGAAAAGAACCAGCATAGCCTGCGAACTGTTAACGAATCCCTCGCTGATGCTGCTGGACGTAAGTAATTGGAGGTATTTTTGAAAATTTTCAATTTTTTTATGTTATTAAAAAAAAATATATTTTTTTTCTTTTTCAGGAACCAACTAGCGGTTTGGATTCCCACTCAGCACAGGCACTTATATCTCGACTGAAGAAGTATGCCGAACAGGAAGGCAAGACCATCGTCGTGACTGTTCATCAGCCCAGTTCAAGGATGTTTCACAGTTTTAGTAAACTCCTGTTACTGAGCAGAGGACAGGTGGCATATTATGGATCGACGACCAATATTGGCAGGTTCTTTTCAACCATTGGACTTACCTTACTGCCCCACTATAACCCAGCGGACTTTATACGTACGTATAATAAAGTGACATTACGTGTCTGCGTTGCACGATTATATTCATTTTTCCTAACTTCACGTCGTATGTATCTTTGTCGACGTCCAATTTGCATATCTTTCTTCTGCGCGATTCTTCTCTTCACGTGGTACGTGACTTTTGTTTACAGTGGAGCAAATAAAAGGACCCGAAGACGTACGCGAGAGAATTGTCGCAGCTGCGAGAGCATCCCGACAGGGTCCCGACTGCCCCCCTGAACTCCGACCTGAGTACAATCCAAGTCAGCATCCGCTCTGCGATCACCTGATACATTATCACGAGCATCACATCGGCCACAACGGTATTAAACAGTATGCAAGCATGTCAGAGTTTCGTTACCAGAAAATGGAAAGAAAGAAGGAATAACGAGTTAAAAACATATACTGTAGAGTAAATGCGATTTGTTCCGACTGTATCGTTATCATTTGGGATTTTGTAAGCGCAAATTTTTAGTCGACTCCAAAATTACTTATCTATGCAAAGTTGAGCATTTTTCAAAATTATACTTTTCGTATACCGCTCTTTCCTCCGATTGCTAAACCGTTTACTTTTCTTTGTTCCACTTTTTCTTTCCTCACACGTCCTTCCTCATTTATTCACGTTATTGCGAAACCTTCGTCGCAAAATAATCCACGTTCCTCTTCTTCGCCCCTCCGCACCTCTTTCGTCGGTATGCTTGTGTTGACTCCTGATTTGGTACTAGGGAAGGAAGAATGCAAGGATATCGCGAACGGAAGGAAGCTCGACATGTGCGTGGTGATAGAAACTCCCAACCACAACAACGCCACTCACGTGTACCCCGCCATTGGTAAATTTCACCACACGTCAGTAATAAATTACATATGTAATGCGCGACGGTTGACGAGAGCGTCGCGAGTGAATAAACGGAAAACAAAGAGAAGGAAAAAAAAAAAAAGAAGATGATCGTTGGAAGGATCGAAAATATCGGCGCAAGATTATTCGCTATTAAAGTAAGAGAAAGAAAAGGATCGCCAAAGATCAAATCGGGCATCTTTCCCTTCGCTGCGAGTGTTTGTTAATTTTCTGTTTTTAATTTGTTTTTTTTAATTTTTTTTTTTCATTCTTTTTTCTCTTTCGTTATATACTTTGCTTGGCCACGTCTAATTCACTCGACAATGGTTATCGATATTGACGCTGTTGATCCTCGTCGCTCTTTTCTTTTATTTTTCTTGCATTTTTTCCGTTTGCTCGTTACAGTCAAGGAAGACGAGGGACGCACGCTTTGGCTTGACACGCAAAGCCACGCAAGCAGCAGCGTAAGCTCTACGGACGACGACTATTCCTGGCAGTGGCCCACGAGCTTTTGGTCTCAGTTTAAAGTTTGTACCACCTTAAGTCCTGACTTTAATTAACGTTGTATCTCACGGTTAAAATATATTAGTCGCACTGCTGTACTTGGTATGAATTAACGTTCTTTTCTTTCTTTATTGTTCTTTTGTTTCCTCGTTGTTGGTGTTGTACCCTGTTCTTTCTCAACGTTTCATTGTTTAACGTTCCGCCGTTTCCTTATCAGGTATTATCAGAGAGAAATTTCCAAGAGGCACGACCCAGAATGCTATCGCGATTAAATTGGTTGCAAACAATTGCACTGGGTCTTCTAGCTGGTCTACTGTGGCTACGACTTCCCAGGACGGAAGCCGCGCTGCACGACATACAGGGTTGGATGTTCTTCAGTACCACATACTGGATGCTCTTCGCACATTTTGGTGCCCTCTCCAGTTGTGAGTATCTAAGAGTCAAACAGATCTTAACCACACTTGGATTAGTGCGGTGCTTATATAGAGCTTTTTTTTCTTCCAGTCCCGCCAGAACGTGAGGTCATCAACAAGGAACGATTGTCAGGATCGTATAGACTATCAGCTTATTATTTAGCTAAAATGGTGGGAGAACTGCCATTAACTATAACATTACCAGCCGTTTATCATATTATCAGTTATCCAATGCTGGGCTTCCATAGTCCTGCGGTCTTCGTTACCCTCCTAGCATTTTTATTACTCAACACCATTGTGGCCCAGGTACATTGAGCTTGCACGTAATACGTCCTTTATTAAGAATTCGAAATATTTAATAATACATTTATAGTGTTTACGTTTCTATTGCATTGCATTTATGTAACATTGTCGTAATTTTAGAGTGTGGGCTTCTTCGTGGGAGCTTGCTGTCTGGATCTGCAAGTTAGCATAACAGCGTCAGCTCTCTATACACTAGCTACACAATTACTGGGTGGTTACTTGGCGACAGCAGTGCCACCCTGGTTGGCATGGGCACGTTACGCCAGTATGGTGCACTACGCCTATCAGAATATGCAGATACTGGAGTTTGGTGTGGGCGAGCCAATCAGGTAGGTCAACAGAAAAGAAAAAGATAGCCAATAATCAGTCTGCACATATACAGATATGAAATGAAAATATATACAACGTTTTACCTGCAAAGGGATGTTTGTATTTGGCAGAGACGAAGAAATAATTGAATGCAATTTTTATCGCAGTTGTTCGCAACCGAGCAAATTCGCGGAATGCAAAAACGGCACGACGATACCAGTTGCTGCGATCCTGGAGGGTCAGGGTGGCGCCAGAGGTCCTGGCTTACCGCTGTGGGCGAACACAGCCGTCCTCTTGGCCTTCCTCGTCGTCTTCAGGACCCTGGGTTACCTCGTTCTACGTTATTATCGCGTGCCCAAGTGAGGCCGCCCGTCGTAGAATTTCACTAGGAGGTCGTAATTCCTAATCGATAAATAATCCTATACGGGACGAGCGTGGCCGTTGTTGCTACATTAGCATGAAGAATTTTGTACACGACTTTTCATCGATCTTCTTTTTTTTTATATATACACACGCGTGCATATGTACGCATTATATGTGCATGCGTTATTATTCGTATTCTTTTATTATTATTCATCAATTCATTCGTTCATTCATACGTTCATTGACTAATCAATCGATAAATCCTCGATCTATCACGTTAATCGATAAATCGAATTGTCACAGGGTTCCCCGAGATTTTCTGTACGCCCCTGAATATCTTGTTCGGGTGTATCTACGTGCACCATATAGAGTGTCGAGCATTGATTTTACAGCCACGTACTAAAGGATATCGAATTCCTATTATATGATTTGCCGGATCCACGTGTTCTCGATGCGCTCAAAGTGCATTGCGTCGATGCACATTGCATTCGCATCTGATCTACCGTGAGCGGTTTATTACTGGGAATCCTGGCTACCAAATTACCAATTATAAAGTAAACGCGAGACTAAGAGACTTGGCGGTGAAGACTATATATAGAGATTTTATACGAGGGTTGAGAGTGTGACGTGAAAAATGCGAAAGAGCAACAGAGAGTGTGTGTGAGAGAGAGAGAGAGAGAGAGAGAGAGAGAGAGAGAGAGAGAGAGAGAGAGAGATTGCTAGAATAACAAAAGAGAGGGTATGAGAGAAATCTGCGAATAGGAATAAAAATAGGAAACATATGCGTAACCGCGTGCGTACGTGAATAGTGACGAAGAAAAATGAAAAAAAAAAATGAAAAAACTCAAAAGTGAAAATAGAGGGATAATGGTGATTCGTAAAAATTGTTCTTTTCCGCGGAAAGAAGGGTGCGAGTGAACCGTCGGAAAAAAAGTCGTATGCAAAGGAGTATAAGATAAGAAGGTTAGCGTTACGTTGAAACGAGTTGAAGAGTGTGACTTGAAGGGAGAAGATAAAAAAATATATATACACGCTCGAAACACACACCACACACACATACGCAAAGGCGATTACCACATGTTGACGCGCGCGGCCCCTTATTGCGGGCACGTATGAAAAAAAAAGAAAAAACGACTGAAAAATTTGTACGGGCGATGAACATTTATATACGAGAATAGATTTTTTTAGCCATTTTAAGCCTTTTATCGTTACTATTAATTATTATTATTATCGATTAATTATCGATTAATATTATTATCCGCGCATTATTCTCTTCTACTTTATTCTATTTTATTTTATTATATGTGTATCCTTAATTACTATTATTATTATATTATCATTACATTACTGCTACGTTTTATCAATCATTCTGTCGTTTAATGTCGATCCACGCGTCATCCGATGAACCCTGACCACGCCCTCACCCCCTGTCTAGTAGCCCCTACCCCATTTAGAACCAATCGTGACGCGAGCCTCGAGATACTTTTTATCTTTTTTCTATTTCATCTCATTACACGTCCCTTCAGCTGTAGCTTTCTTATTCTGCGTGTACACGGGGAAAAATATTAATGAAAAAATAATGAAATGAAAACATTGTGCTGCCAAGAAACAAAAAAACACATAAGAAAATGAATTATCCAGTTAATAACGCAGTCCGCGTGCGAGCACGATGCACGCAAAGTACGTCACATAACCTAACCAACGGGGAACGATAAGTTTAGAAATAATTTTCGAAAAAAAAAAAAAAATTGGTTTCACGTGTTTGACACCAATTTGCAAAAAGGGACACGTATACGGGGTGGTGCAGCGAAAGGTATCCTCGTGGGTCTGGTATGTTACCTACGGTGGCTACTGTTGACAGGGGCACCCGGTATATTACGTTACCTCTTTACGAGAGCCCGGAAGGATAAATGTTCGTTCGCGTTACGAAAAAGTTAAGTGCGAAAAAATTGCATAAGCACACACACATACGCATACACTCGCGCGCGCACGTGGACGACGTATTATATGCATGTGTCGTAAAATAAGATTACATAGATATATAAAAGTAAAAAATATATATAGAGATATATATATATATATATATAATATAGATATTATGAGAGAGTAAGGGAATGAGATTTTGCGGGGAAAAATGCCGAAAAAGTGAACGAGGCGAGTCGTGATAGATCAATGAGGAAGTCTGGAACACAAAAGGGGAAAATAGATGGGATCGGGGATGGGCACCATCGAATGAAAATTACAAGTTGAATGGTTTTCCACTCGAAAAAGCATTTGAAAATACGTTTTAAATACTTTTACGAATGGAGAACCATTCGACTTGTAATTTTCATTAGAATGGTGCCCGTCCCTGGATTGGATGCATATTTATCGATCAAACGGATAACAAGGAATTTATAAAGCGAGAGAAAGATTGAGGAGAGAACGAGAGACACTTGACTATTATACCATTAAATGTGTTATTATGGTCCTTTTTCCTCTTCCGTGATGAAACTTCATGCGAAACCACGTCAAGCCCGGGTTTGTTATATCTGCGTATAAATACATTAATGAAGAAATGAAGAAAATGAAAAAGATTAATAATAAGCGACGGAACAAGAAGTTTACGCGCCACGTGATAACGATACATATTATTATTGAATGGTGCAAAGTTCTGCAATTGCAATTATTATTGTAGTAACAAGGTAATGGCGCCGAATTTACGTGTCGAGTTGTGTCGCGAACGTGCATGCGTGCGTTAAAGGGCTATTTAACGAAAATATCGCGTTTGAAGGTGAAGAACGGGTGTCAGGCCGGATGATGTATGCGCATGCGCACATAGTAATGGCAGAAAATAATTCAGGCCCGTTAGTAAGTTCTGTTCTGTCGTTTGGAATTTATAAAAAAAATTTTCTCTATTAATTATTATCATGTAATTATTAAGAGGTCGGTGGGGAGGGAGAGGGGTTGAATTATTTTCTGCTGACGTTTACGCGTCTGATTACCCCGTAACCAGTCTCACCTCTTTTTAGCAAGATCCACCAAGTGTTCAATGAGTTTATTAAGCGAAAGGGGGGG